ATTTTGTTGGGTTACCCTTTCTGTGAAGCAGGTTGTGACATCTGTCTGAAAAGGTGCTTGGTACTTATTATTTATGCTGGTGTTTTGTAAAGCAAGTGCCACAGAGGCCTAAACAAGACAAAAAGAAGGAGATATTGCAAACATAAAGACCCGTTATTCCTTTGGAGTAGTGTGTTGCTTTTTTCTCCTTTTCTCCTTTGTTGTAAACAGTTTTAATTTTTGCATTTTAATTTATCCCAAGTACGTTATGTTTAAAACGAGCATATTATAACAGTTTTTATCACGATGAGGGGATTCCTATACATTTTCTTTCCAGCTACAACTATTCCATGTCACCAGAGGTAAATAAATCTACATTGTTTACATGGGAGAATGAATTACATTACTACTGGGTCATTTTTGTGATTCAAATGTTGCAACAAAATCTCAAGCTGAATCTCTAGGTGAACACAGACTGTATACATTAAATGTAAGAGCTATTATTGTTTTGAATTTTTGACAAATTCAAAACAATCTGTTGGAGGCTGCCTTATGTCACGAGCTAATTGTATATGATAGAGTGTTATCTGTGTGTGGGAACTTGTTATAATTACAATGTTATAACATGCAAGCAATAGTATTTTTTCTTAGGATCCTTTTTGAATTTTTTTACTGCCAACACTTCAAGAAGAATTGTTTTCAAATCTTAAATCATTGCAGATCTCTACTGACTAGATTCAGTTAGCAAGAGACAGCCTAACGAATGCCAAAAATATCCTCACACCATTTACACTACTCCCACAAGACATCAACAAAGTTTTCATTTCGGTGAAGCTGTGTAAAATCTGGCCAGTTTCCTGTTGAAAGCACCAAAGACTGACACGCAATATGGTCTTCTGCTGCATTAGTCTATCTACTTTTAGATTTGAAATGTTGGAGGTGGGCCTGTGTACGTTGGTTGTAATTAGTGGTTTTTTAAACTACTGTTGCTGTATCAACTCAATCCAGTCTACAGTCATATTCAGTAAATTAGAATATTTGTCCCCATAGGTTGTTTGCAAGACAAACATACCTTGTGAAAATTACCTTTAAGCAGGTATTAAACATTCTCTTTTTAATCCTATAATTCTGTTTTTAAATAGTTTTAATAGGTCCATTGTAACATTCTAATTTTAAATGTCATGTTTTCATTAGCTGTGAATAGAAAATCATCATTTAACACAAATAAAAGCTTTCAAGCATCCACCTGTGTGTAATCAATCTACATAATGTGCTTGAATTTGTCATAAAGCTCCTGGCAAGAATTGGTGTTTTTGACAAATCTAATGTATTGAATGGATCTGCAGAAATTTTCACTTGATCTCTGACATCAACAATGCATTTTCATGCAGGCCACTGCTGCTCAACGGACATTTTATGTTTTTTGAACTATTCTCTATAAGCATGAGGAGATGGATAAGCATACAAAAGCTTATGCATACCAAAGCATACAAAAACAGAGGAATAGCGATTTCAGAAATTCTCTGCCTAGCCTATCAGGTAACATCAAATACCGCAACACATTTCAAATTACTTCAATACCCATTTCATTTTCACCACATCTATGTAGTTGCAATTTACTGCAATCAATGTGATTGATTAATTCACTATTTTGGTTAATAAACAATTTACCACCTGTAATTAATACAAGGCCCAGTGAGTACAATTCTGCATAATTCCAATTCTCTCCCACAACTCTAATAAGCTTTAGCAATAACAATAACACCAATAAGCTTTTCCAAACGCATTTAACACTTTCTTCTCATAATGATAACGTCTCATCCCCTCTCGTGTTAGAGAAAATTTCACCAAAACACACAGTCAGAGCCACTGCTCTCCCACACTAACAACCCAGAGCAGTATTTGAAGACACAGAGAGCCGCATCAAAATGAACAAGCAGTGAGCCTAGATGCCACACTGTGGAACAGAGAGAATGGAATTATGACATGAGCTGCAATAATAAGGCTTTTTTTCCTGATAAGGATACAATTGCTTTACACAGATGAAAATAATTATTTGGATATTAACTAATTGGAAACTGACAAAGCACATCTAAGTATTTGTTCTTGAGTATAACTGTGGCACCAATATCGGGGTGAAGTAAAAGTAAAGATTAATGTCATGTGCTGTTTGTTCCTGTGGCTGCCATATCTACTCTCGGTTCTGCATAAGAGATGGTATGAGATAGCAGAAAAACCAAAAGCGAGTATCATTTTTGTCAATTCACAGTGCAACTCTGCTGTGGCAAACTGTGTCATTGTGTTTAAGGAGCATAACACCCTGTGCTTTCAAAAAAAATCTAATCTGAGCTTGAAAATGTCAGAATTTTCTTTTAAGAGCTAGAAACTTGACAGTTGACAACTCCCAGGCCAACAGAGAAACATGGTTCAAATAATAAATAAAAAAGCGCTTTCCACATGAAATGGAGACCCGACTGGAAAAATTGGAAATCTAACAAAGAAAATAGAAACTCAATTTTATTGTAAAAGAGATCAAATAAAATAAAAAATGCCTTTGTGTGATCTAACGGAGAATCCTCCATATTTTTATTTATTTTGTTTTCGCAAGTCAAAACTCAGTATTTACCTCTACATGTGTATCGTAAATCTTAGAGCTATTGTGCATAAAAGCTTCAGCCAAAAGCTAAAAGGGGAAAAGGTGGCTTTAACAATTGCAACTCAAAGTGTAAACTTTTTTTATAGTTGCATATAACTGAGCAGCAGAGAACATACACAGAGAGTGGCACTTCTATAAATCACAGTGAATCCCAAATAGATCTCTTCTAGTGGCGGCCTTGTGTGAACAGGGACAAAGGTTCATCTTAAATTACAGGGACCCAGTCCTTTCTCTCTGCTCGTTGCTTGCTTTTCTGTTTTGCTGCTGTTATTCCCTGCTACAATCCAGTGGTCACCAGAAACCACCAGACATAAATAATCAAATAACAATCCTGTCTGTTTGTATATTTTTTAGAATTTCATTTTAAATGAAGTCTACCTAAGCATATTTCACTAAATAAAACTTTTAATTTGCTGTAAAAACACAGTTGTTTTTGCATCTGCCAATCTCCAAAATATGTCTATACAAGCAATTACCAGTTGTCTTAGTCAGAGAGATATTTTAGTTTAGTACTGCAGCTTTTCTTAATACAAACTAATCTATTTTAATGCCCAGTCTATCTCAAGTACCTCAATGAGATTTTTTCTTTCACCTCTTTATAAAGTTCTCCTTTCCTTCCTTTACACTCATATCTTCATCTCTCTCTCCCTGCAGCCACTCTTTTCAATTTTACATTGAAGTAAAACTCGTTGGCTTGCTCATTATCATAAAATAATGGGCCGTGGACATTCAGCATATCCTTACAAAAATTGACCCTGAAATAGACCCCGAACCCCAAAGCTTTTATGACTCCAATATTCTCCCCTTTAACATCTATTTTAAGCTCAGATTTTACCTCAATCTTCATACTCCCACCTACAATTAGACATCAGTCATGGTTAACTTAATTCGAAACATTCATCAGCGGCTGTTATTCACCGCACTGAAGAGAAAAAAAAAACGTATGGGCCTGTCTTTCCAAAAATAAGCTGGAGAAGCCTCTTGCAGAGCATTATTTGTAATTACTTGCGTAGTCTGTGGGAGGAGGCTGGCAAAGCTCCTTTTTGTTTCCTCCCATTTCTTCCTTCTTTTGCCAGCTATCAAACATATAAATGATGCTGCATTCGGCCCTATCAGCCTTCCAACACTAAGCTGTAAGAACAAGGAGCCCTCTAAAGGATGTAATTCCTGCCTCAGGCATTATTCTCAAGTATACATGTGTTCCAACTCAGGCACACGCTTTATGTAAAAGCAGTTTGCTAACTCAGTTGGTCTCCTCTCATGTGTACAGTATATATCTATTTGTCGCCCTGGTAAACAAATAAACTGAGACAAAAGATAGAACATGAACATATTCAACCCAAACTCAGATCTTACAAATTAGTTATTTGATACTCAGGACGTGTGCTGACTGTGGTCTTGCTGACTGACACAGGAAAGAAGGAGACAGTTTGCCTTTCAGGCCTGGATGTGGTAAGGTTCACTGGTCTCCAGGGATAGATAAAGGACACTTGAGAACAGAGAACCAGCTTTGGCACTTCGGTGCAAACTCAGCCAGTGGCAGAGAGAGATGCTGCACAACCCTGTTTTTTTTTATGCTACAAAGCTCTACAAAAACAACAACCCACTTTTTCCCAGTGTCATAAAGTGTCTCCAAAACACAGATTTTATGTGAAGTCAAGTTTAAAATACTACCAACAACACCCAAGCCAAACTGCAATTTTGCCAGGATGATTAATCCTATTTGCTTTCTTTGAGGGCTTTTGGCTCGCTATCACAGCCTCCACTGATGATCTCATGAGGTTACTCTGACTCAGAAACCGCCTTTGAGGGGGACGCTTAAGGGTGAAATGTATAATTATCAAATCAGTTGGAGCTTTATTTTTTTTTTTTTTTGGAACAACAGTAGACTGGTTCCTCTTCACTGCTGATGCTGTGCAACCCCATTTATACACACACATCAGTGTTGGAGATCTGATTCTCCTCAGGTGGAGAATACCAATACACCCTAAGTAATATAGATTAGAGATGTTTCTTGGAAAGGCAGAAAAAGGCTGGCAGTGTTGATGAGGGGTGGGGTGAGGGTGGGAATAGGTAGGAAGGGGGAAAGAAAAAGAATGTGCTCATACAAATCAGGCGAGCAAAGCTTGTGTGTATGCATTTTCGAAGAACCTCGGAAAATACAGAACTTTATGCACATGTGTAAAACTGTAGTGGAGCAAATGTGGACAGCATTCTAGAGTCTCTGCTTATTTTGTGATCAGGAACACAGTATCTCATGCATAAAACCAAACTCCAGTAAACTAAAGAGCAATTACCCAATAAAAAAAAAAGCTGTTTAGACAGTCAAATTTGACACATAGAAGCATAATTACCAGTTACTTACCAAGGTTTGGAACAACACTTAAAGTTCAACTCAGTATGTCCCATTCTCTTGCAGAATCTCAGCGTTATCAGTAATAGGAATGGCAACGAAACTCATTTCAGTGTTCAACAGCCACTCCACAGAGAAAGATGAAAAAAAAAAAAAAACAATGCACGTGCGGGGCTCCGAAAACAGGTAACAGTGATTTGCAAAGAAAGGCAACAACACGGACAGCCGAAGCAGCCTTTGCGGTTCTATGCCAATGACAAACTTTCAGAAAGCACGGCGACTCTCAAGCTTATCCCAGAGCAAAACGAGGTTCCAGGAAGCGGAGGCTTTGACCTTTCTGGGGATAATGACTTTACAAAATGAAATCGTCCAGCAGGAGATGGAGTCAAGAGAAGACACGAGTAGCAGGAGGAGAAAGAGGAGGAGAGAAGGGAGGAAGAGCGAGCCACCAGGCGCGCAAAGGACCTGACGATTAGATTAGAGGGACCCCTAAGTGTAGTTTTTGCGGTCAGGAATCGGTGGGGTCCAGCGTCGGACAGATGTGATGAAATGCAAGGACGTGAAAAGACACTCAAACAAGAAGAAGACTGTGAAATATCCTGTTGCGGATTCGGTCTGCTCCCCGCGTATTGTGCTACTTGATTCGCCTACTCCGCATCGCCGTGCAGGATCCGGATCCTGTAGGAACTGTCATCAGGCGCTCTGCACAGAGCAGGCATGAGCGCCTCAGCTCTCCCCCTGCGCCCCTCTCTCACTTTGTCACATGTTTAAAACACAAGTAGCTCTCTGTAATAGCTGCCAAAGGAGGGTGGACAGAGGTAGGCGACGTGGCTTGAATAATAATAAGCGCTTTGTGAAAAGTCATTTCCATTCCTCGCGTTAGCTGAAACGCTGACCTGCGAGGAAAATGACATTGACTTTAAGTTTAATCTGCCTCTTTTAATGCAGCATTTGATTCTGAAGATCTGAGCAATGAAATTAAATGAATTCCCCTCCTGAAGAATTTCGCCCCCGCCCTCTCCCGAGAAGATGTCAACATTTAAGTCCTTATCTGTTTGAGCTGTCACATTAGTTTGAAGAGACAAAAGGTGTTGAGCATAACGTCTAATCCTCTCCGATCACACCTATGCATGAACCGTGAGTCATTAAGTGGCACTCCAAAGGCTGTCCTGTTCAAACCATCACGCAGCGGCGATGTGGCCACAGAGTGAACGAATGGGGGCTGGCATTTTCATAATGAGCATGACAGTACACATTATAGCTGCTGGGACCAGCGATGTAACCAGGCACATGATTTCATTTTAGATTGCGTTGATCAAAATCACCTCCAGAGAGTGTAGCATGCTGACTGGTCAGGGAGGGAAACTGTTGCCTTTCTAGTGCCATTTCTTTTTTCATTAAAGGCTTTTACAGGAATAATTAATGTGCCGTTAGAGCCAAGGGAAGTGTTGTGTTAGAATTACAGCTTTAAGCCTGTGCATCATTCAGTGACGGACACTTTTTCTTGACAGGTACATTTCAGGACCGCCTGCTTGAAATACACCCAAGATGTTTATCACTAGGCTAATTATGAATAGCCATGGACGAATTAAAAGTGCTGTAGAGAAACTTAGTGAGTTTCTCATACACATAAAGGTCACAGAGGTGCTGTCTAAGGTTCACCTGGTAATTTTTCTGAGCCGGAAGGAAATGGACTAAATCTGCCCTGAAACGACTAAAATTAATCCGTGAGAGCTATCAGATACTGGAGTTCTTCTGTAGGCGCTGCGGCCTCAGTGTGGTGCTAATTAACCCACTTCCCGGTGTGTTTGAGCGGACGTTTAGTATGCTGTGGCGGACTGGAGCTGTCCGTGGTCCTGAAGTTGATTTATGTCGCGTCCCTGCTGAGGTTTGTGTCTCATCCGGCGTGACACAGTCTCCGTTTTATTCTCCCAAGTCCCGGTTCTGATCAGAACGAAGGGGCAAACAGTGACAACCTAAATAAAATTTAAAAAAAGTTGGCAATATATTGTTAATTCAACTATTTTCTCAAGTGAACCCATCCATGTTTGCCACATTAGAAAAATGGCACCACTGTCCCCATCACGGACCATTTATCTTTCATTTTAAGCCATTCCAGGTCGGTGCTTGCTTGTGAGTGCTAATGTGGAAGACAACCAGAAAGATTGAAAATATGAGATTTGTGCACAGCACCTTGCATTTACACCACTCTTTTTTTTTTACTCCAAAATACAAATTGGAAAATTGTGGCATGATGCATTTGCATTCAACATCTTTCACACAGAACAACGCACAAGCTTCAAATGTCACCAAATTACAAAGTGGAGTTCACCTGTGTAATTTAAAAAATTACATAAGTAAACTTTAATCCATTTATGGGTGCCTTTGTTCTGTGAAAGCCATTTGGCTCCTATTGAGATCATTAATGAACAAATAAGATCATGATGCATCATGATGTCGATAAATTTAAGCAGGGTTAAATTATACAACATTTTCCTAAACTTTAATATATTACAAAAAAACTGTTCAATCCATCATTTAAAAAAGTATGGGGAAATTACAAACTCACCAAAACATGGCCATCCACCTAAACTGACAGGCTGTGTGAGGAGAATATGTGAGAGACCTTTGGTCACACTGGGCTGCAGAGCTCTACAGCCAAGTGGGACAATCTGAAGTGGACTTCCCAAGTCTTCCCACATGGAAGAGCAAAAAAGAAGAATGCCTGCCAAAACATTTTCAGTTCATATGAGATTAAAATGCAACTTGCATTTCATTTAAATGCAACTTGCATTTCATTTAAATGCGAGTGACCAAGCCGATGACACACCACTCCTGATATGTTTCATGGTGGAGGGAGCATCATGATGTTTGTTCTTTAGAAAGAACAGAAAAGGTGGACAGGAGTGATTGTAGGAAAGATGTAGCAAAATACAAGGAAATGCTGTAAGAAAACTCAGGAAAGATTGCGATACAGTAAGAGACAATGGAATGTATTTACAGTATGTTAGAATGGCCTAGTCAAAGGCCAAAGCTAAAATGACTTGAGGATGTGTGAAGACTATGTTCTCTACACTAATGCTGTCCTTCCAATCTGACAGATCTGAAGTATTTTACAAAGAAGAATTTGTAAAAAAAAAAAAAAAAAAAAAAAAGGTTTTGCAGCTGAACAAAGCTGCTAGCAGCTGTAATTTAATTGAAAGGTCAATCTACAAAGCACTGTCTCAGAGTGACCAATACAAATAAACACCACAGTGTTCACATTTTAAACTTCACATTTTTAAATTTTACTTTTGCTTGTATAACACTTTCAATACCACTAAAGGTTCATGGAGGAAAATTAGTAAAATACAAAAAAGTTCAAGAGGTCTGAATAGTTTTGAAATTCACTTTAGTGTTTGTAAATTCAATTAGTAATTTTCTTTTAACAAAATTGCCCAGAAAATGTTTTATGGCTTAATGTTGGAAACCATCTTCACTCCCACATGATTTTCTTGGCTGTGACCCACTAAGTAGTGTAATTGTATTAATTTCACTATGAAGCCTTAATGATATATATTAACATAATAATGAGTGATGATGTTCCCCAAATGGATCCCCATCATTTATAGTGGAAGTGGAGCAACCTAGTGGATTTGCTGCTCTGGTGTCTTTAATGAGCGAGGATGTGTAACTAATTTACATCTTCAGCACAGCCTCTTTAGAGGACCTGGGAGTGTCTGCAGAGAAACATGGTCATTTAAGCTTCGTGCCTCTGTGGATGAGTAGAGACAGTAAACATAATCTCACATATTGGTGTCTTTTTTTAGTTTTAATTACTAATATGAGTGTTTTGTTTAGGATGAAATTCTCTTCCATGCCAGGGATTAGTCACATCCAGAACATATTTCATTTTTTATTTTTGGAAAGGTATTTGTTTAAGTACAGTGTGTGATGGTGTGTTTATCAATACTGTGGCTTTTATTCAGAAAAAGCATAATTTTCAATGTTCTTTTTTCAGCAGTGTGACTCATTTCTGGATCATCACATAGCAGACTGGCTGTCTGTCAGGCTCTGGTAAACTCTTAAGGTAATTTCACCACAGTCGCACACAAGCTGACTTCTCCTGTAATTTGACCTTAGCTGTCTTCAATATCCCTCAGGCAGCCATCGAGGACAGTTGATTCAGATAACTCTATTCCACTGGGCCCGTGGAATGAATTTAGGTCTGTTCAACTAAGGGCCCATTCATTTTAACTCCATTTCACCGTCTATCATCTCCCCCAGAATACCATTGCACCAGCAGTTATCTATTCTATATTTAAAACAGGTGGGATTATTTGGTGCTTGGGATGAATATACCCCATACTTCATACAGATTACCTCAAGCTATCTCAAGTTCCCCCCATTTCTATTGCTGCAGCACAGATTCGGTATTACAATATCAACCAGAGGCAGCAGTATCTTGCCCTGTTTATTATAGTATGTGCTTATCTCTGCAATCCTGGGACAAATGCTTTATGAACAGATGGAAGTTTTTAAACTCCTCAGAAAGGTCATTCAACTTTATGTGTCCCAAAAAGTGTCTCTGGTGTGGTGTTTTTGTCTTTACAATGCTCACGAAGGTTGTGTTTGGCAAGAGTTAACCTTTTTCTATGTATTCCTTTTCAAAGACAAAAACTAAATGAGACTTGCTTTTTTTCAAACTTGATCCTTTAAACCAGTGTTTTTCAACGTAAGGGGCTGCAACCTTGTGAAGTCTCACCGAGGGTCATAGGAGGAACTCAAAAAAAAAAAAAAAAATTGAAAGATATTTAAAAAAATAAACACTAATTGTCATGGTAATTCTTCTGATTGTCTGCCAGTTAAATAGAAAAAATATATATTTCAAAATTAAGAAATAACACAACTACTTCAGTTTGGTTGAATTTTTATTAATACTTATTTGAAGCGTAATTGCAAAAAAAACCTAAGCACCAAATTCCTTGCCGTTGCAGTCATATGCTCATGTCACAAGTATTTTCTGGGCTGCACAGTGAAGACATTGGTAACGCTGTTGCCCTGCAGCAAGAACAAAGCAAAAACAGTCCAAAGAATTAATGTTTTGTAGATGATAAAGAAAAGAAAAAAATACAGCTCCTCAGTACACCTCTGTGATAGAAATTAAGTTTTGTCCTCCCACACCATTTAAAGAAATTGTATGGATGGACAGTTTTATTATCAAACTTAAAATGTTTATGACATACTTAAGTTTCTCCAAATTCATTCAATTTCTTTTGCCTGCTCACTTGTGTATGATTTGTGAAAGAAGACTTTTAATTAAATGGTTCATTTCCTGGTAATGATCCACTCAAAACATTGTTCCATATTGCAATAGGTTTAAAGTCAGTGTTAGGGGAGTTTTTCTAAAACTATATGATCAATTTTATTTTCTATTTCAAAACAAGCTTAGTTTATATTTATGATATTTATCCTGTTGGAACTCCCACTCATTTCCAGGACAACCTGCCACACTCACATAAAAAGAAAATTGATTAGCCTGTGCAGACCCAGCCAAAAAAAAATCTAAAGCTTGACAAGGGGGGAAATGCTAAAACAAAAGTGTCACTGGCCACAGTGAAGCAAGTTAATACATCAATAAGGATTGAGAGGTGCAGAGCAAGAAAGCAGGACCTGCT